CCCCCCCCCCCCCAGCTCCCAGCGTGGGACAGAGATGTGACAACAACCCTTACAGCTGCCCCCGTGGGGTGCTCATTCAACGCGGGCTTTGTGTGGCCTGCTCATGGCTCCTCACGATGGCCCTGTGCCACAGGAGGTGTTTTCACACCCATTTCACAGATGGGGAATCTAGGCCAAGGCGGTTGAGGAACCGGCTCACTTCAGAGTCCTTGCATCCTCGCAGCCCTCTACCTGTGGCTGCAGGGCCCCCTCCCCGCATATCTCCTAGAGAAAGAAGCAAGAAGGAAAGCGAAAGCGAAAGCCGCTTCTCGGAAAGCCCTGGTTTCCCAGAAGAGGTGCTCAGAACCACTGGCTTTTCTGCGCCAGGAATTTTCAACCCTGACCTTTTCACAATCCCTGCTCAGGACAGAGCTCCGCAGGCCGGGGGCGGGGGCGGGGGCGGAGCTTGCGCCTGTGCCTGGTTAGCAAAACCCGCTGGACACTGGGCACTGTCTTCATTGTCCTCCCAGCCTGGACGGACGCTCACAGCGCCCTGTGGACCTGAGGCCCCAGAGAGGTGAGGACAGAGGACAGGCTGCAGGGAGAGCAGGTGAGGCACGGGCAGAGGGGGGGAGGGCTGCTTGGGCGCCTGAGGGGTCAGCTACAGGCCAGGAGCTGTGGTCAGCGCTGCTAGGGTTCAACTTCCTGTCCTGCCAGTTATGAACTTTGTGAGCCTGAGAAGCGTCTCAAGTTGAAATTCTTTTTCTTTTCTTTTTTAAATTAAATTTAAGGGAGACAGAAGAGACAGAGAGAGAGAGAAAAACATCGATTTGTTGTTCCATTTATTTATGCATTCTTTGGTTGATTCTTCTGTGTGCCTGACTGGGGATCGAACCCGCAACCTCAGCATATGGACGATGCTCTAACTGAGCCACCCGACCAGGACTGCAGTGGGAATTCTTTGATAAATCAGGACAGGAATCTCTCCCTCATGGGCCATGTGAAGTTTACAGCAGTGGTCACCACCGGTGGTCCATGAGGTCTCGAAGGTTGGCGACTGCTGCTTTAAATGAAAACCTGATTAAGGGGTGATATGACCCACCAAATGGAGTCTCCTCCCCCCACCCACTCCAATGGGCCAGTGACCCCAGGGTTCTAAGAGGACAGGGCCAGGCTCCCAGAGTGTGGGAGACCTCTAGACACAGGCGTTTCCCTGGGAGCTCCCTGCAGGCCCGGTTTAGGGGTGCCCTCTTTGCAGGAGAAAAGAGGCTGGGTGAGTTGTGGAAAGTGCAAAGCCAACCCCAGTGTCTCCTGGATGGTAGGCTCCTTTGGGAAAGTGGTGGGAAGGAGGGGCCTGGCCCCAAGCTGTGTTTTCAGTCACCCACCTTTGCATAGAGAGGATGCTGGGGGAGCTGGTGTGCAGGGAGGACTAAAGGCTCCCTAAGCAGGCACACAGAGACCGTCAGAAATATGAGCCCTCGGCCGGGCTGGCGTGGCTCCGTGGCTGAGCATCAACCTATGAACCAGTTCGATTCCTGGCCAGGGCACATGCCAGGGCTGTGGGCTGGATCCCCAGTGTGGGGCGTGCAGGAGGCAGCCAGATCAATGATTCCCTCTCATTATTGGTGCTTCTATCTCTCTCTCCCTTTCTCTCTGAAATCAATAAAAATATATTTAAAAAAGGAAAAGAAAAGTGAGCCCTCAAAAGAAGTATCATGGCTTACCCCGCCATCAACCCCATTGTCTGCTCTCACATCCAGGGAGGTCAGTAGGGAGGGGACCTGTTTGGACCAAAGAGCTCCCTGCGGTCCCCTCTGCCCTTCGCCCGCCCGGGAGGACTAACATGAGAACTGGGGGTCACAGGTGCTGGTGGAGAAGGGCTCCAGGGCAGTTTCTCAGCCTCAGCACCACTGACGTCCTGGACGGGGTCATTCTCTTGTGGGGCCGCCCTGAGCATTGCAGCCTCAGATGCCAGTAGCACCCCACCCCCCACCAATGTCTACAGACATTACCAGTGTCCCCCGGGGAGAAAAAGCACCCCTGATGGAGATCAACTCGAATCACGCTGGGCTCTCCCACTTACCGACTGTGTGACATCGGTCTCCTTGGGAGGCTCAATCCCACAGACTGGTCCTGCCATTGACCAGCTGTGTGGCCATGGGCAAGCCACCAGCCTCTAGAAGCCTCAGTTTCCTCATCTGCAAAATGAGAGAGTCAGGGACCACCGTCCTAGATCTTAAATCATGGGGGCCAGTTATGTTTTGGAGTTTCCCATTTTGGGGGTGCAGATATTATAATGTTAGGTCTGATCAAATGATTGAATCGATCCCCCTGCCCTGGGAACTGCCCTTTAGGCCACTTCAGTATGGACATTCCACTGGCAAAGACCATTATCTCTCCCCTCCGGATTTCACCAGAACCCAGACCCGCACAGAGAATTCTCTGCCCAGAAAAAGCCCGCCTAGAGCCCTTTAAAAGCCTCTGGCTCCCCGTCTTTCGGTGCTGGCACTATTTGGGAGCTCAGCCCATCTGGTATCCAGATGACCTGATACATTTATAACCCCTCACCACTTTGGCCTAGTGCGTTCCTCCTTCCGTGACCCTAACAATACATTGTGTAACATCTCAACAGCCCTCCCTAGTCCAGCACAGTCAATATTTTTGCAGTGACACAATGAATATTTGAATTAAGTGGGGTGCATGAAAACTATAAACTTGCACCAATTCAGGTCAAATTTCACCATCCCATGAGCCAGGAAAGAAGTCTGTTTCAGAGCATTTTGCACTTCACACCTCAGTTAACATGTAGTAGTTTCCTGTCCTCCCCTCCCACCGTGGGACAGAGATGTGGCAACTGCTCATTCCACGCGGGCTCTGTGTGGCCTGCTCGTGGCTCCTCACCGTGGCCCTGTGCCACAGGAGCTGTTTTCAGACCCATTTCACAGATGGGGAACCGAGGCCAAGGCGGTTGAGGAACCGACTCATCTCAGAGTCCTTGCGCTCTCACAGCCCTCTGCCTGTGGCTGCCCGGCCGCCTCCCCGCACATTGGAGTTGACTTGGGTTTGTCTGTGGTGTGTGAGGTTTTTTTGCCTTCTTCTTCCGCTTCTCTTCTTGCATTTTAGGTATCTTTTTTTTTTTTACCACATAGCACAAAGCAATAGGG